CAACTCAGCTGGGCAATAGTGTACTCCAGGGCACTCCCATGGCAGTCAGCAAAGCCACTTCAGCATGAGCAAGAGCAAGTTTCTATACCTGTCAGCTATTCTGAAGCGTCCCTCTCTTCTTTACTTGTCTCCTTTTCTCCTTAGTGGTCCAGCCACCTGACAGAGTCTCTCGCAGCTTCCCTGCTTGTGACCTACTAAACATATGCCTTAATTTTGTTTGGCCTTCAGCTGCTTACTGTTCGAATTCCCTCAGGGCCCTCCAGTCCCATCTTCTATGTTACCTACTGGCCTTTGTGCTCCTTCCTGTGGGACACTTATGCTGAAGGACACCCATCCAACTCACAAAACCTCTTAATCCTGGCCCTTTTCTAACCCTGGCTTTCCCCCTTTCCTTCCTGCTTTGTTGAAGAGTGTCAGTGCCTGCCATTCTGTAGATGGAAGGGAGAAGAAAAAAGGAAGCAGACAGGAAACAGCACTCAAATGACAGTATAATGAAAGAAAAGTAACATACCGTGGACATAAAGCGACTGGGACCCCAGGACCCCTGTGCCGGAAAAGGGCCAGAAGACAGGCAGTGGGCACAGCAAAAGAGCTGCAGGGCAGCCGGAAGGGAAGGGGAAGAGGAGAGAAATGGAGAGGAGTGGGACAAAAGGACAAGAGAGGGAGAGAGCAAGAGGGAGAACAAGAAGAAGGGTATCAGAAATGAAAGAAGTAAAGGAAGGAAGAGAAAAGAGAAAAAAAACAAACGGGAACGAAAATGTGTTGGGAGGGAAAAGTAAATGGAGCAGAAGGGAAAGGGCAGAAATAGGAGGAAGCGGGAGGGGAGAAGGAGAAAGAGAAAGAAGTCAGTAATTCAGTAACACGAGGCCTGACATGACTGTAGGCAACTCAAGAAGTTTTGCCTGATGCTGTCAAGGCAGCAGATCGCAGGCATCTTGCTGATGCTCTTTCCTGCCTTGGGGCACCATGTGGGGAGTCAGACCCTCAGCAAGTGCAACCTGGCATCAGTGGAAGATTGCTGATTCACACCAGTCAAGGACTTTCCCCAAGTGTTTCGATCTGCAGCCAACTGCTCTAGCCACCCAGGAATAGCCATCACAGTGGGTGCTGTAGACATGTCTTCATAGCCAAACAACAACATATTTATTTTTTTATCTTTTCTTTTTAATCTTGAGGAGGCTCAATGGGCACGAAGCTGCCTCTGCCCTCTAGCGTTGGCAAGCACGCTCCAGCAGAACTCCACTGCCACTGGTTAACAATCTCATAACTGGCAATGTATACTCTTCAAAGGCGCTAATCAGAGGGCAAACTCTACCCTGTGATTCTTCAAACACTTCTCTAGAAGCTATTTGGGTAACCCTGAACATTTCAGTTCAATGATGGGCAGGACTCAAAGACGGAAGGCATCTGGGTCCCATCTCTTCGCCACCATCTCCTCCCTCACGGCCTACAATCCATTCTCCAGTGAATTGTCTAGTCCAGTCCACTGTCAGACAACTCACTCTCAGGTGGAGTTTGTTTCCACAGTTGTATTTCAACCAGTCACCCTACCCTACCTCCTCTCTAGTCAATCCCTCTTAGCCACCAGATTACTGGCCCCAGGCCACAAAACTACCATTCCTTTAATCTCTGTTCACTGCAGGTAAGTGGTTTATGTGGGGGTAGATGCCCTCCACCCCTTCTCTGTTCTCTCCTCAGCTTGCTGGCTTTGTTTAAATACCAGCAAGCCACTAGGCAATAAGAGAAGCCACAAAGAATTTGTGCCCAGGGGAAGGGAGAGGGAAGGGCAGAAGATACATACCCATCAATATCTGCCAAGTCCTCCTCATTGCGCAAGCTCAGCACGTAGAGAGTGGACATGGACACCACACTGGGGAAGACAGAGAATTTTAAGTGTGAGGGTGGGTATCAACTCTGCAGCAGGGGAGTAGTGACTCTCCCGCCAGAGCAATAGTTAATGCATCTCCGTCTGATCTATGCCTATCCAGGCTAGGTGGGCAGCTGTAGGTCAGTAACTTCCCAGCCCTGGTGGTACTCACAAATGGCTCATGCAGGACTGACCCTTCTATTGTCTGCTCCTCTATGGTATCACAGGCTGATGTCAGGTTGCTGCACCAGTTGCCATGAGCAACAAGGCCACCCTGAGAGATGAGCATTTACCAAGAACTCCCTGGAGTGGATCAACTGGTTTGGCCAGCAGTTAGGGCAGAGGTATTTTTATTTGTTATGCACTGACAACAGCTCAGCCTGTGGATGACCATGGAGTAGCTGGGCTCTCTACACTGAGGACAGCATGCAATGAATGACATGTCTGATACATGCAGTTCCACTGTTGGGTAGAGGTCATGGCTGATGGGGCTCTGGCAAATGGTGGCCTGGGAGGGATATGAAGGACAGCAGGGCTCTAGGGTAGAAAAGGCATTCACAGATACAGGGAACAGCAATGAGATTGGCTGCATGAGCCGCAGGGATATAAGGGGAAGCGATGGTGAAGCAAGCAAGGGATTGAGCTTGGACTCAGCCCTAAGGTGCTGTTGCTCCCACAAAGTAACGTGAATTGTGCCTGCTTACTCTAAAACTGAACCTGGACCAAGAACCATGAACCTGAGCAACAGTGATGTGACCGGAGGAAGGAGATACCCGACCTGCTGGGTGAGCAAGATGCTTTTAAAATGGTACACAGGAGATAGCCAGCTGAAAAGACCCTAAGGTTATTCCTTTGCTGTACCATGCGTGACTGAGGAAAGTAGCTTGCCATGCTATGGACAAGCAGCCAGGGGGGCAGTCACTCACCTGAATGCCATGATGATGACCAGAGCGATGATGGTACCCTGGAGGAAGCGCTGGCTGATGCAGGCTTGTTCCGTGACAGGAGACGGGGACTGCAGGACAAATGCAGGGGAATCAATTGCTTGTACAGTGCTGAACTCCTTAAAGCAGCTCTTTCTACTGCCTTAAACTTCCCTGGAAGGGGAGGACTTCCTGCCCCCACCCCAGCAGGAGGCCACTCCTCCTGCTTCATATAATGCCCTTCACTATCACTGAAGCATAAGCATGACAGTTCCTCTAGAACAGCGTTTCTCAACCTGTGGGTCGTGATCCAAAAGTGGGTCGCAAGAATATATGAAAGGGTCAAAACAAACTTAAAAAAATGGATCAAACTTTAAAATAGGATTCTCCTTTAAAGGAGGAAAACATGGGAAACCATGGGTTTTCCCTTGGAGGCTGGCAGAGTTATGACTTGCAAGGGGCTGCTTAGGGCCCCCTGTGCCCCAAACACACCCCCAGGAATCGGGGTCAGGAGTGAGGGGCACCGGCAGGGCCAGGGGGCTGTTTTCTACTTAAACTGTTTACTGGGTCAGGACTAGCCATCAATGTTTACAAACAGGTCCTGGTACAAAAAGTTGCGAACAACTGCTCTAGAAGACACTGGCCAACAGTGCTGCACTTAAAGTGACTGTAGGGAGATGGTGGCTACAGGAGACTGGCAGTGGTAGGGGATAGGTGAGGCTGGGGATCTGAAGGCAGTAAGGCAGGTAACAATACTGAAAGTGCTGAAGACAGAGGGACTCCCCAACGCTTGTACAACTTACTGGGTGCATCTACACAAGACACTACATTGCCACAGCAATGAACTATGGTGATGTAGCTCATCACTACGGTGACATAGCACCGGCAGGCACAAACCACGACGCCAACGCTTTGTCACCGTAGCTCATCACTATGGTGATGCAGTGTCTAAAAATAACTGTGCACTGCCAGGATTGCACAGTACCAGTAGGTACTAACTAGGCAGTCCTGGGCACATGTAGGCATAACATGTAGGTGTAACATCTCCATTCAAGCACCCCTACCCCCAACACACCATGCAGCTCCCCAGAGCTGGACTCCAGCTTCTCCTGCCCTCCAGCAGAAGCACAACAATGCAAAAGGCTTACATGCACAACAGTGTCCTGACATACACCCTCATGCTTTGCACACCACCTAACACAACTCCTGTTCCTTTGGAAAATGCTTTCTTACCTTGCTAGCCATTTTGGGGGGCCTTTTTTTGTGGGGAACACTTCCTGCACGGCTGAACTGACTTCCTGCTTGGCTGCAAAGGGAGAAGAAAGGTTTGAAGTGGGTAGGCTTTGGCAGCACACAGAGCCATAAGCTCGGTGAAGGTGGAGTTCAGGGGTGGTAGCACATCTGTAACAAACTCGCGTGGCACATTTAGAGAATCTGGGTCAGAGAGCTCAGTGATTCAAAGCCCTGAAAGAGTGAAAGTCACTGCAGAATGAGTTGCTGCAATAGCCTTAACTCTGCCCCATGGTCTGGGCCTGAGGGGAAATCTCACTTCATTCTCCCTGGTGCTGAGCTCCCTGTAGCTGTAAGGGACTGCCCCTATCCACGGCAGAATCTCCCAGTGCCCCACCCCTCAGTGCTACGGCTGCCTGTGCTTCAGTGTGCACATTCCTTCCCTGCTCCTCTGCCTCCTGCCTTTGGCCATACCTGAAGGCCCCAGAGCTGACAGTCGACTTCATACTGTCTAAGCGCTTGAGCTTGGCTAGTTTGTGACTCCACCTCTCCAACTCATCGATGCGGGTCTCCAAGTTGTCGGTCAATTTGCAAAGTTCCTTCACCGCCCCAACGTTCTCCATGAAGATCCGCTCCTGCCAGGGGCCAAAGCAGAAGGAATGAGCTTTCTCTGGATGCATGGGGACAGACACACATGTGGGCAGTGGCCTAGCCAGATCAGGCTGCCCATCAAAACTAGTTTTCCCTCTTGAAATGTTCAAAATCTGCTCGAGCCCAATGGAAAGTTTCCAGACCACCCATCAGCACTGGGCCATGTAGAACGGCACATCAGGAAACCCAGCCAAATTCTCCACAGCTGTTTGGAACTGATAAACATTTGCAAGGGATTTATTTTACTTTGCACCAACAAAACAGATAAAGGCACCGTCTCCAGTACTGGGTGTTCTTGGCAGCATGTACAGTTTTTATCTGTTACAAAGCTGTTGCTCACCTAGCCCCTCCCCTGCCCAGCCAAACAGGAAATAAACAGCACAAACCCCCTCTCGCCTGCCTCTCCCCACCCTTAATACTTTGCTCCACATGCAACAGTTTGTGATACCTGAGCTACTTTGCAGCCTGTGCCCTAAGTGAAAACTGAGTTCCAAAGATCGGGGGCCCCAAAGATACCATCCCACCAACTGCAGGCTCCTCAGTAAAGTGAAAGAGCTCCAGTCCACACATCCCCATCAGTTCTAACTGCAGTACTGTCCCACTGGCACCGAAGTGGTCCCACCAATGTTGTTTCATCATCCCTGAGGCTTCTTTCACCGCTGTGCCTGGTCCTAATTGGGACAGGTACTAATTAGGCTCTCTTGGGATAGTAACTGTCTCACATATGTGTAGGACTTGGGGGTGATTGAAATGAAACCCCTGGGGCTGGGGGATCATGGATGCTGTAATTCCCGATGCTTGGGGATGCATCAAATCCCCAGGCCCAGGGGTGCGTGAAACCTGCCAGCCCACGCACACAGCCAGGACAGAGTCCCACACCTAATGGGGCTCTTGGTCCTGGCTGCACATGTGGCACGGCTGGGACTCAGAACCCTGTCAGGTGCAGGACTCTCCACATGGCCTCTGTAGCTGGGAGACCCCTCAGCAAAGGGGGCTCCCAGCTGTGACAGCCTGCTTCTTGCCAATGCAGGGGAAGCCCAGGATCAGGCTCCCCCTACACTTGCAGTAAGGCACAACTGGAACTAAATGTGCAATTCCACAATTGCGCCTCCTGCCATGAACATGTGGCACATGGCACGGTTGTGTGGATTATGCATTAGATCCATTTGTGTCTTTACCTGCATATGTAAACGGAGCCTTAGCCTCACCTCATTTGACTCAGCTAGTTACTGGAGCATATTCTAAGAAAGTCCATTTGCAAGCTTCTGGGGAAAGAAAGGCAGATCACAGGCACCCAACATGGATTTACTAAGAATAAATCATGGTAAACTTGATCTCCTCCTTTGACACGTGGGTGGATGAAAGGAATGCTGTGGATATAGTGTATCTGGACTGCAAGTTTGCTTTAGACACAAAACAGGAAGGACTGCAAACACTTTGGAGGACAAGAGCGTAACGTGAAAGGATCTTGACAGATAGGAAAGCTAGCCTGGACCTAACAGGATTAAATTCAGTGCTGACAAATGCAAAGTGCTACAGCTAGGGAAGAATAATCAAAAATACAAACACAAAATGGTTAACACCTGGCTGAATGGCAGCACTACAGAGAAGGATCTGGAAGTGTTGTTGGCTCATAGATTCACTATGAGTCTGCAGTGTGATGCAGCGGCACAAAAGATAAATATGGTTTTGAGATGCATCAATAGAAGTTTGGCAAGGCACCATTAGTGCCTGCCACTTTAAGGGTTGAGCCAAACGGCCAGCAGGTTCTTGACTATGGCGGCTATTTTAGAACTCTGTCCACCTATATAGACAGCAGTTCCCTACTAGCAGAAACATTACCTGGCTGGAAGGCTGTATGAAACATCCTGGAGGTAAGGGCAGGAGCTTTGGGGATGGTTTGGAGGCTCCTTGGTCCTGGGCATGACCTAAAACTGCACCCTGCTGGGAGTGTGTGGCCTGGTGGGGCTCCCAGTGGTGCAGGAGCCTCCAGAAAATGCCAGGCCATTTACCAACCTGGTGAAAGGTGGGTTGGGGTGTCTTAACCCATAGCCCCCACAATACTGTGGGTACAAGGGGGCCAGGCATGGCTATGGCCACCTGAACCCAAAGAGGGTATAAGACCCAGGTGGGGCCAGGCATAGCTATGGCCACCTGAGTCCCCACCAGGGAGAGAAGTCCTGGGGCCCCAGTGCGAACGGGTGGAGATGTGGAGCCCCAGCTTGTGTGTGTATGAGTATGTATAGAGTTGCCCTAGGAGGGGCGAGGGCAAGCTTGGCCCCAGTTGGGTAACTGGCTGGCCACTACCCCTGTGAGGGTTACAGGAGAGGCCCAAATATGGTACATCTGCCACCCAAGGTGTTCGCTAGATAAAGCCCATGGCTGAAGGGGCCTGCTATGAGAGAGGGAGCAAGGTGGTATGTGTTGTTGATGTGTGGAAGAGACCCTGTGAGAGGCCCTAGTGAGAGGAGGGCGGTATGAATGTGTGTGTCTGCAGCCTGACAACAAGGGCTAAGCTAGGTCTGGCTGTAGGCCAGGATCATTGTCACCTGGATGCCATCTGCGAGGCTTGGGCTGTGGTGTAGGGGAGGAACGGAGCTGCAGATAGCGCCCCCCTGGCATTGGGGCAAGAATGGGCAGCCTCCCGCCTAATTAATACCACAATTAAGAAACAACAAGGCATGGCAGGCGAGGAGACGGGCAGTTGGCCCAGAAATAGGTGGGCGGGCCATTGGCAGACCGGCCCCAATGTAATGTTAAAAAATTCTCCTGCTTCTACATGTGTCAAGGGTTATCTAGAGTACTGTGTGCAGTTTTGGGCTCTGCATTTTAAAAAGGATGTGGAGAAGTTACAGAAGGTCCAGAGGCAGGTGACAAAAATGACAAAGGGCTTGGAAGGTAAGTCATACAAGGAAAGATTGAAATGAAATACACATGTTCAGCTTGTGGAAAAGGTGCTTAAGAGAGACCTGATAGCAGTCTTCAAATACCTGACGGACTGCCATAAAGAAGAGGGAAAACACCCTTTTCTATCTGTCTGCAGAGTGTAGGACAGTCCAATGACTCTCCAGGGATCTAGCAGACCTCCTGAGGCTAAAAAGAAAGGCCTAAAAAGGATGGAGGATGGGATTCACCTCTAAGGAGGATTATTCTGCACTGGTCCGGTCCTGCAGGGAACAAACCAGGAAAGCCAAGGCTGCAACTGAACTCCGACTAGCTTCGAGCATCAAGGACAATAAAAAATCCTTATTCAGATATGTAGGGAGCAGGAGGAAAAGCAAGGGCAACAGTGGACCCCTGCTGAACCAGATGGGGCAACTGACAACTGACGCCCAGGAAAAAGCCAACCTATTAAATGGGTACTTTGTGTCGGTCTTTCATCAGTCCCATGGGACACCCATGCCCACCACGGGACAGGGCGGTCCGCGTGAGGGAGATCCCCTGCCCTCCATTAAAACTGAGCTCGTGAAGAAACACCTTCAGAAGCTGGATACCCTTCAAGTCAGCCAGCCCTGACAATCTACACCCAGGGTACTCAAGGAGCTGGCAAGCATCATAGCCCAGCCCCTGGCACGGATCTTTGAAAACTCCTGGCACTCTGATGTAGTGCCCAAAGACTGGAAGAAGGCCAATGTGGTACCTATCTTCAAGAAAGGGAGGAAAGTGGATCCGGCTAACTATAGGTCCATCAGCCTGACTTCTATCCCAGG